CTAAAACCCAATTGATTGATCAAAATTGTGTAGATGACTGTAATGAGGATTTTTGGTGAAGGATTGAAGTGATTTTGAGTTCAATTGGATTGAGTTCAATTGGAGAAGTTCAATTTGAAGGATTTTGAGATTTTGGTCAATTTAGGCATGTTGGGCTAGACTTGGGTCTAGATTGGGCTAAGTCCAAATTGATTATTGAAAATGGTCAAAAGGAATTTCAAGAGTTTTCAACATAAATTGTCTGCCAATTTTGGGGCTAAGGCATTCAATTTGGTGAAATTTGGAGACATAGCCAATTTGGGGAAAATTTGGGGGTTCTTGAACTTGGGTCAAAATCAAATAAAATTGAGGATTCACCAAGGCCAATTAAAAATTAAGATTGATGTGTAGGAATGTTATGAAGAGTTTTAAACATAAATTGTGGCAAATTGAGTAGGCTATGGGGTTCAATTTGGTGGGATTAAGTCATGTAGCAAAAATTGGGAGTTTGACTTAAATCAAATTAGGCTCAAATAATGGGCCAATTAAGCTTGGATTCGGTTTAAATTTGTCATATGAAAGGTTAATTTAAGTTTAGGATTGAAATTGAGGGGAATTGGGGTCAAATTGATGAACATTTGAGGAGAATTTGGGGAGATTGGGCCTTTAAAGGCAATTTGGGGGTTTTGGTCAAAATGATCAAATTGGCCAAATTGGGTTCAATACAAGGGTCCAATTTGGTTTTGGAGATATTTGAAGTGATTTTCGAGGTTTTGGGAAAGTTTGGGGTGCCAAGGGTATTTTGTAATTTTGGCAATTTTAAAAATATTTTGGTAATTTTGAAATTTTTTGGAATGTTTGGGTAATTTGGGCATTTCCAAAATATTTGAAATTATTTTTGAAATTATTTTTGAACATTTGAAATTATTTTTGAACATGTTTGGGTATTTTGGATGAATTTGAGGATTTTGACCAAATTTGGGATTTGGGGGTGTTTAGGTAATTTGGGTAGATTTAGGGGTAAAAGATCAAATTGGGTACTTTTCATAGAATTGGGGTGTCAACCACCACATGTGAGCTGTGGACCAATGGAATCCCCATTTGTGTCCTCTATGTACTGGTCTTAGCTAAACCCTAGCCTAGGGCTAGTGAGTCTAGGGGACCATTTACATGAGTCTCTCAAAGGATCTGCGGATCAAAGTCAACAAATCTAAGTTTAGGACTGTGAGTGGGTATGGGTGATAATCAGTGAAAGTGAGTGCAAGTGAGTGAAAGTGAGTGCCTTAGCCCTAGACCAATACCCAGAGTCAAATCTAAGGGCAAGCAGTCCTATGGGAACTCACCTTGAGCTCCCCCATACTGACCCCACCTACTAAGTGCTAGAGGTTAGAACCAATATGTGGAACTTCAAGTTGAGCAAGGAGGAATGTAGAATTTCTAACGCTGAGGGTTCCTTTTCTAATTTTCTAGGAATCGTCAACAGGAAAGACCTATGGCTAGACCCTAGGCTACTATAGAAGAAAAAACTAAACCTCAACCAAAAGTGAGGTCAACAAGGGATTTGATAATCATAAAGGTCTGCCCACAACTCAATGTCAAAGATTTTATTTAACAATCATCATTGAATGCTTGTTTTCAACTAATACCAATAACTGAAGCATTTGTTGTCACCTAATCATTGTTGTTATTAGATAGTTGATGCTAACATCTTATCACCATCTTCAGCATCACCAAAATCTAAAAATCATGATAATCACTTTATCACTTATTATATATTGACTAATATTAATGTTTGTCATCTTGCATCATTTCTCCAATATCTTTTGTTACTATTACACACAAAATAAAATCTAGCAATTTAAACTATAAAAATCCAAGGAATTTTATAATCATCACCTCTTATGATAAATTTATTCAAATGAATATGATGCCTTGGTTTAACCCTTTTAGAATTTTCTTGTGAAAATTTGCATATCTTTAGTGAGCTCATTTTCTATGTATTTTAAAAATTTTGTGAAATACTAAGATAAAAACTTATGCTACCTTTTGGTGTTAAAACATATATGGTTATCTTTTTTTATTATTAAAACAACTTACTCTTGAATTCATTAATAAATAATTAAATATAAATTAAATATATTTATGTTTTCCTATAAGTTGAGAATAACTTTGTTATCTTGTTTGATTTTTTTTATCAAATTTTGAAAGAACTTCATTCATTTAAATACTTATCAACTTAAGTACCGAACAAAAAAAGTTTAAAATGTAAGGGCACAAAATATTTTTTAAAACATTCCCTTGGCTTGATCATGACTATCCATAAAAAATCATTACATCATGTGTTTAATATCACATATCATATTTAATTAAAATAAGCCTCTTTATTAGTTTTGATAATCATAATCTTTGTCATAAATTAGAGATATAAAGACTATTAATATATCAAAAAATAAAATTATATTGTAAGCAAGGTAGCTTAGCCCTTTTTCATCCCTCCCAACTCTTTTTACTCTCTCCGTCTATTCTATATTTACTCCAGTTCTATTAAGACAACATAAAGATCAAAAGTGCTTATTTTAAAAAATTGACTAAATTTAGAATAAATGAAGTTTGGTGTTGTGGGACTTCATAAGCTATCTCAACAGTAGTACTTAGTTGTAAAAGTGTTAAGAAACCTAGTTGGAAAATGCATTAGTGATTCCAATTGTAACATAAAGACATGATCTTAACCTCAAGCATAACTTCGTGACTAAAAATGCTTCAGGGTTAATAGTTCTATAGTAAACAAAGCTAGAAAAAAACAATATAAGGATATCTGATGAAATTATCATCATCATGTATAAAAATTTCAGGATCAGCAAGAATTTTTAAAAGCTGCATCAATGCCTAGCGATGCTTAAGAGCTCTGAGAGTGTGATTGAATATAGAGCATCTAAAGGAGTTGCAAAAATAACCTAATTGAAAGTAGATATTGAAAGAGAGGGAAATAAGTTATATCACAATAGTAAGTGAGCAAGATAAACAAGGCATAAGGAAACAATAAAGAGTGCAAATTATTAGAAGTGTTTAATATCATTTCATTAGAGTCATCCTTTGCATGATCTTTACATTTCTTTTCTCAGGGGGTAAGGGGCATGTCTCTTCTTGGTAATTGTTAAAAGCTACATTAATTTTTGGCGATGGTTAATACCTTTGAGATTGTGGCCCAATAAAAAGCACCCAAATGAGTTGCAAACATAATGCTAATTGAAATAAAATATTAAATGAGAGATAAATATTTACCTTAATAGTTGGCAAGCAAGGTAATCAAGTCGTAAGGGAGCAATAATGGGGTTCAAATTAATGGAATTGTTCTCTACTAGTTTAACAAAATCATCCTTCTCATTAATTTTGTATTTCTTTTCTAATCAAATATTGGTGTAGGGCCAAATCCACCCTTAACCTTATGAAGGTGTTTGATGGTACGCTTTAACAGAATTTATCCATCGGATTTACTAAATCCAGCCAAACATAAGAAGTTGCCAGTTATTTGGATTTATGAAATTTGGAATTAAGGCCCAAATTTTGTCTTTGATTAATGTTAAATCCTGATTTAACAAATCCAGCAAGGGTGTGGATTCAATAAATGTGGATTTACTAAATCCTACTGACGCTTAATTCTTCCTGCAGCCAAACACCCCCGAAGTATCATTTCTCTATGGGGGTCGTTTGGTTAGCTGAAAATAAAATGCATTGTTAAAGGTTTACAAAGTATTTTGATTACAAAATATTTGAAATACATTAGAGTTGTTTGATTCATTGTAAAATAAAGATAGAACTTTATTTTTTTTTCTTGTTATTATTTGATGTTGATTAAAAACAATTTATTTCAAAAAAAAAATTTTTTTCAGGTAGCAAGGGGGTGTCGGCGGCCGATAGTGGCAGAGGACAACGATGATGGATGGCTGGTAGGCGGCTACGGACGAGCAGTGGCCAGTGGATGGCGAGGGGCCGCTACGACAGACAACGCCCAAACGATAATTGATGACGGGCAACGATAGTTGACAGATAGCAATAGCTGGACAATAAGGGGTGGAGTTGGGGGTGGCGGCCTGGTAATAGTATTTTATATTAATGAATGGTGTAATCTAAATTCGGCCAAATCAACCGAATTTTAAATTCAGTCAAAATGAACTACAATATAAACTTTAGATCTATTCAAACTTTATAGTGTATTTGCAGTTCTTCATATCAAACACATTATTTTATCAAATTCCTACAAAAGAATTACAGTACATCATAAATTTTCTCAACCAAACCATCCTATAATCCTTTTAAAATTAAATAAAGTGAAATTAAGGAAAATGTTTTTCTTTACTTGCTAAAAAATCACTTCACTTTAATACTTTTTAAATCATGAAATTAATAAACTATTAATCTCGCTATTAAACAATTCATGAAGTTTGATATCATACTTCTTAACTAGATTAAGATAAGTGATATTGATTTATCATTTGTATATTAGGATACTAATAAAAACAAATATATATATATATATATATAACATGAAGTGTTTTTATATAATTACGTCTAGATTGAAGATTGTGCTTCTTTTTGCAACCAGACGCTTACAGGGGATAATTATTGATGGGAATTAGAAATTACGCTCTAAAGAATGATATTTGAAATTAAATTATATTTAAAATTTAAAAATAATAATTAAGAAATAATTTCTTTATTTTAATTTTTAAAATTATCCTCCGATTTCTCTCAAACAACGATTTTATTTTCTGGCGGAAATAAATTTGTTTAAACTAATTTTTCTTTTTATTCAAGGATATCCCAATTCTTTAGGCCCATTGTCGTGTACATGCGCTCCTGAGCTGACGGACCACAGCAACAATCCTGTTCTATGATTTGATTGCCGCAAAAGCCTTACCAAAAATAGCAAATAATAATTTTTAAAGACACTTAATTCTATCCCGCATCACAAGTTACCGGCACCCTCTCGGGCTTTATAAATACCACCAGATCACCGCTCTTACATTCCGCTTTTCTTCTGAAACCCTAATTGTTGGGATCTTCAGTTGTCCTATTACGAAAACGTGTAGCGATTCTGGTGACGCTTTCGTACCATTTTAGGTCTATCTGCATCTGCGAAGAATTTGCGAGAACCATGTCCCGGTGCTTTCCGTATTTGCGCCCGATTTATAAGAGGGAGGATGCCTCTCTGATCGGATCAATCAAGGTTTGTTGAGCATTAATGAAGCGACTATTGATTAATTTCATTCTTGCTCGACGGCCTGCCGTTGATCCGATTATTAATGGTCTCGTTATGTTAAAATTTCCCTCTTTTGTAATAATACATGTTTGCAATGTATAGAACAGATTGAAAAGAAACTTTAGGTTGATGTATTTTGATAGTCAGTGTCTAAATCGTTTTGTGATTGTTTAGACATTCAAATGATTTTTTTCCTGCAAGGATTTAGAATTCAAATGAGATCTAATGAGGACACTCTGTTTTTACTTTATTTATTCAATTAACTTTGGTTTCATTGATATGGAGTGTAAAATTTTCACCAGTGCTCCTAAATTAACTTCTCGTATAGCAATTTGTGAAGATCTATGATGGGATTTTCCCGATGGACATACTCTCAACTGCAAGTGATCATGATACAATGATAATAAGTTTTGGTGCTAATTAAATAATGATTTCAGAAATAGGTTCTTTTAATAAGGGAATGAACTTTATTGGAGTTCATTAATAACTCGGCATTTTGAGAGATTTAATTGTGATCAGCAGTGTTATCAAACCAGGACTGTTTATTGAGATCGTTGATTTGGGGAATCAACGTTACTCTTTTCATGAAATTGTGAGTAATAATTAACAAATAAATTCATGATTGAATTATAATTGGTTAATAAGAGAGGTATGATCCTTCAGCATTAATCATCCATCCTCGCTTAATTCATATATATGCTCTAATATTCAGAATTGTAATAGCTGATTTTAGGCTTTGGCGTTTTGGCACTTTCATTAGATATGCCTTGATGCACCTGTTGTTGAATCTGCAGGAAATGGGTCACACATCATATCTTGTATGGATAGATATGTAGAAATGTCTTTGCAATGTGGGGTTTATGTTTTATGCACCACTCAACGATGAATGAAAAATTATGATACATACTAAAGCATTTATTCTACTTATGTTGAACATTCTCACATCAAATGTCATTAATCTTGATAAAAAAAGGCTATTGTGTCTCAAGTTGAGAGACAACATCAAACAAATAACACCTATGTGTATGAACCAAATGGCCCTGATGTTGGATCAAATTAAGCAGCACCAAATTGTTGGTTTTTTTTCAATTTAACTTGGAGCCTGTTTATATCATATTTGGGTGAAGGCAGTGATTAGATTAAACTATCCTGAGTTCTAAATAAATGTGTTTTAAGTATCCAACTTTGTTATGAAATCCATGATTTTATTTTCTAAATTTTATTGAATTATTGCCCATCTTTTGGAGCATAAATGTTGATCATTTAATCTATAAGCATGTTGTTATGAATTTGGTGACGTCAGAGATTATAGGCCCATAATGTCCCTCATCATTTCAATATCATTTTTTTTCCCTTTGGATAATGTTTGTATTTTCGACTCCAGAATATATGTCCTTTTCTATTCAGCATATATGTTACACAGTAAGAACTGTTAATGTAAAAAACATCATAATTGATGTGCACTGCATGCTGTTTGTGGTTTGCATCCATAAACCAGTCCGTGCATTTGCTTTGTTTTCCCGTCATCTTTCCTTTGCTGGAATTGATGGTTTAGTCTGGTGCTTAGAGGCTCCAGCTTCAATGGGGAAACACAAAGCAGAGGAAACAAGCGAGCAGGAAGGTGACTGAAAAGCAGAACAAAAAGAGATCCAGAGAAGAGCATGATAATCTGGATTCCTTGCAGCATAAAAACAAGAAAAGAATGACTGACAACAATATCGAATTCAATGAAAGCTGCTGTTATGCTAGCAAAGAATATACTGACCATTTGGAAAGGAGTGACCTTTCTGAGGAGCATTATCCCCCAGCTTTAGTAGTGAACAAATGCAACTCCTCGAGCATTCAAAACAATAACAAGAATAATGCAGTTCAGGACTCCGGATCCGATAAGCAAAGACCAGGTACCCTATCTTTGGCACTTACTAGGATTCATAGTTGCTATTAATACCTTTCAATGTTATGGAAGACTTGTTATTGATATACTTTAAACCTCTTATGAAAAGGTTTTGTTATCCGAATCAAGTTGCCTTTAAAGAAGCACCTGGAGGTGCAGCCACATCTCAAGGAGTTGCAGCCAGAATTGGCAAAAACAGATCCCGGCTGCTCTTTTAAATTGACCAAATCGTCGAAACCACCAGCACTCCTAAATGATTCTGCTTCTTCTTATTCTCAAGCCAACAAAACATGTAAGCCTCAATCACTTCTAACCGAACCTGCTCCACGCAGATCTTCTGATGTCAACAAGCTATCCGAAGTCCAAATATTCTCAACTGAACCTTCTCCTTGCTGCTCCACACAAACCACCAAAACCACATTTTTAACTGAGTCCACTTCTGTCTACTGTTCTCAAATACCCAATTCATACAATAGTAAATCAATTTTAACTGAATCTGCTCTGAGAACAGAAGAGGTACCTTCAGCAAAGCAACCGTTCTCTGCAAGAGCGGAACCTAACTTCCCTAGTCCTGTTGCCAAGGTGCCCATCTATCAAGAAAGCATTGTTGAGGCTAACCACAGGAAGTCCAGCCACAGGAGAAGCAATGGCCGGAGCTTCTCACGGAGGTCAGAAAGACAGTTGTTCAGAGATTTGATAATAAACTGGAAGCCTCCATCCATAGAGCCAATTGCGTCAGATGAAGGTGAGCTGGACTGGTTATTTGCTTCAAAGAAGCCACAGGGTGCAAAACCTAATGCGCAGATCTTCGAAGCTGGAGTTTCTCATCACGGCACTCATCTGAGCTCATCAGCAAGTTCTTTGCAACCACGAGCTACCTATCTACCGGAATTTGGCATGTACCAGCTGCCATATGTGATCCCATTTTGAAGTTTGTGCGTAGATGATTGTTGGAAATTTGAGCTGGTTTGTACACAGTTGATTCTCTTTCTATACCATGTTTCATTTCTACCAATGAGTATTTGCTCATATGGTACATAGTTTCCATCTCTCAATTGTGAGATGATAGGATTCAACTTCCACTTATAATAAGATGGAAAATCCCTGGAAGGGTGATTGAATGTGGTGGTTGTGTTGGAAGGAAAAGAATTAAATTGCATTATATAGAAAGCACCTTTTTGGTTTTTATTTTTTATTTTTTAGAGCCAATTGTTTTATTTATTCTGATTCTGATCAGCCTGAATTTGATCCTCTTTTTTAACGACCCTTTTCTATTTGGTCGGCCTCAATTCGGTAATCGTTTCATTTTCGGTTGTAGTTTTCGGCTTCATATTTATGAAGGCCTGCTTGATGTTGGAAGAAATCTGTTCTCCATCGTCTGCTCGCAGATCAATTCCATGTTTAGTGATTGAAGCTGTTTTCCTCGCAAATTTAAAATTTGACTGTGATTTGAGATGATTATTATTTTTAGGTTTTATATATTGTGCTAATATTAAAATTTCAATCTGTATATTATTTTAGATTAATTGTTTTTGTATTTTTTAATATAATATTGTGCATGCTTAAAGGGGTTGAAAGAATATTTGTTAAATACAACAACAACAACAACAACAAAGCCTTAATCCCACTACGTGGGGTCGGCTACATGAATCATTTTTCTCCATTGCTCATATTTAGTGTCAATAGGACTTGATGGAGAAAAAGGATTCATGTAGCCGACCCCAAGTCGTGGGATTAAGGCTTTATTGTTGTTGTTGTTGTATGTAACAAATATTCTTTCAACCCTTTTAAGCATGCACAATATTATATTAAAAAATACAATATTTGTTAAATGTTTATATAATTCTAGTTATTAAATCGGGCGTAAGGAATCATTTTTTGTGACACTAGCTGTTCTGTACATGACCGGGAACCTGCTAATTCATCTAAAGTCGAAAAATTATAAAGTGAGCAAAGCCAGTGAAATTTTCCAATATAAAAAATGGGAATGAAAGTATTTAGTTTTTTTCTCCCTGCTTTTAGCCGTTTGGCCCAGCTTTTTCCCGGATTCATGATGTGAAAATGCGAATCAACGCATTTGTTTTTCGTGTCGAAATTATGTTTGATTAAACGAGCTTTTACTTTTACGTTGTGGTCTAGACCTGCAGCTCACGATTTCCCTCTGTTAAAATGGGAGTAATATCGAGCGTACGAAGCTCCATCGACCTTACTTTATCCTTCGGTGGCAAGAGCACGATCAATTGTATTTTTCTTTGCATTCCATCATTCTCTAATGCCTTACATTTTTTTATCGTTCTAAAGGTTTTACTATCTCTATTTGTTTCTCTACGGGTTTTTTCTTTGTGGTCTTTGTTCTTTGTAATTCATGAAGATTCGATAAGATTCAATACATTGTTGTTTAGAGTTTAAGGATGTTTGGAGGAATGGATTTTATGCCTTAATTGTGCAGCCCTCTACTCTTTTGATTAATTTTTTTTCTATTTTGAAAAAAAGTTCATAAAACAAATTGACCCAGGGCATACTAGTTTGTTATATTTCAGATGTTTATTTTATGTAATCTTGCTATTTGTGGGCTTTACTTGAACGAATTTGGCTTTGTAAGCTTTTGTCATGCTAGAATATGTGAAACTTGTTCTATTAACATGTATAAGTGATTTTAAGTTATGTGAGAGGTTTTTCAGGGACTGGTCTCAACTATGAAATTAGGAATGCTTGTGGGTTTTTAACCTCCTTCCTACCTCCACTCGTTTCTCTGTGAGTTTACTCTTAATCATCTTTATCTTTGTCGTCTGTCTTTGTTATCTCTGCTTTTGCTATGATATACTTGTTCATCAGCTTATATGTCCATGCATTGTTGTGGATTGGTTTTGGCATTTCTAAGTCATGGTTTAAACTTCAATTTTTTTATGTAATGCCACATTACTTGCGTGAAAAAAATATATTGTTGTGTTTTATTGATGTGATATAAAATATTTTAGTAATATAAAGTGTAAAAAGTTAATACAAAAGAATTTGTTGTATATATGAAAATACTCTAATATTAATTGATTGAAAAAATATGGGGTAGCTCCATTTGAGTTTTGAAAAAAAAAAAGTTGACTCAGAGTATACTACTTTGCTAGATTTCATTTGTTTATTTCCGGTTATATTGCTAGTTGTGGGCTTTACTAGAACAAATTTGGATATGTGAAAGTTTTTGTCATGTTGGATTCTGTAGATTTTGTTGCTCTTTTTTTCTTTTTTTTCTTTTTCTTTTCAGAAGCCCGCTATTATCACTCGGTGTGACAAAGGTTTGGGAGTTGTAGATTGCTTTCTTGAATACACTTGGCTATATTGGTGCTCTGGTATGGCTTTTAGAATAAATTTGGTTATTAACACATTTATGCCATCTGGAGAAAGGGTTTGGAGAATTGTTGATTGTTTTCTTAAACTCAATTGGTTATATGAGTGCTCAAGTTTGGGTTTATAATGAAGTTGGCTATTATCATTTTTGTGTCATGTGGAGAAAGGGTTAGGAAATATATAGATTGTTTTCTTGAGCTCACTTGACTCTATGGTTAGCTTTTATTGAAATGAGAGTATCTTTTTTTCTTTGTAAAAATATATGTTGATTACTTATTTTCATAGTAGTGGTGGTGATGGGTAAAACAAAAGAATGTGGGTCGGTTGTTGTGTGAGAAAAAGATGTGAAATTAATCTTTTGTGATCTCTATCTAAGAGATTTGGAATTTGGAAACATACCAACAGCCTATTTTAATAAAGAAGGACGACATAACATTATAAAAAATTAAAAAAAAAAAACAATGGAAGAGAGAATGATGAAATACAACTGAAGAATAAATGAGATCAATTAAAAAAATGAACAATATGAAAAAAAATAGTTAAAACGAGAAGCATCGAGCTTTTGGTGGGATCTCTTAAAGCAAACCATTGATGCTTTAGAAGAGTGGTGGACTAAAAGACCGAAGATAAAAAACTATTAAACGTTTAAAATATTTTAAATTTTTTTTCAAGTCATTTTAATTATATCAACTTATCAACTTATGATTGATTTGTAAATTGTACCAAATGCTAAGAAATTCAAATTTAGTATCATTTATCATGAGCATGAAGAGAAGTTGGACCAAATGTTTGGCGGATTGGTGGCTACCATTGATCATCCATGGACACAAAGTGAGAGGGTGCACGTTAACATAGTTGAAGATGTAGATTCTGAGAAATTAGAGGAGTCAATTGAAGGGTTCAGTCCTATCCTCAACGAAGTTTGATATAATTGTCATTCCAAATGTCATAGAACTCATAAAAAGAAAAAAAAATGGTGTGGAGTTCTCAATAAGTCATTTTACACAATTAGTTGTTGCATGCACTGATGAGTCCAGCATATCACATGAAACTTCTAGTCCAGTTGTGAAAATATTGAAAGAAACTGCAAGAATTTATAAAGATATGTCGTTGTATTCAATGAAGTTGTTAGAAGATCTCACTAGGAGATAGTTATTTGTGCCAATGACAACTGAGCGTATGGTTGACTACTTAAATTTATTTTATGATAATCATAGTGTATAACTATTATGTTATTTTTAATATGTTTTTTCTGTAAGAATAATATGAAAGGAAAAGATATTAATTTAAATGTATTAGTGTTATCATGTATCATTATTTTTTTATGTTCAAAGTATGTGTTTATCAGTGTTATGCTTTTCTACTAAATTACTTTCTAGTTCATGATATTTAATCGTGTTTGTCTTCTTTTAGAAGAATACCAATGAATAAAATTGATATAGAAATGCGCTGAAGAATTATTAGAGCTACATTTTATTTAATATATGAGTCAACTCATATACTGCTTACAATTCTTGCATGAAATCTACATATACTGGCATAAAATGAATTAGGGAATTGCTTGAGGGTCATCTAACATAATTAAACAACATATTTCGTATGATACAAGCTTTATTTATTGATATGTTAGAAGAATTACACTGAAATTATGGTCTTCATGGCTCCTCTAAAATGACTTCAAGAGAAGTGTTAGCTATAACTTACTATATTTTATCACAAAATTAGTCTATAAGAGGGGTTAATGAGTGATCCAACACTCATATAAAATAAATAGTAGATATTTTTCGATTGGTTTAATTGTTATGGTTAGCTTATCTACAACGACTATCGAATCTGAAGACCTAACATTCCAAAGTTCATCTATAGAGATTTCACATGATCAATGCTATATGTCATACTTTTAAGTGGATTTATGTGTTTAATTTTTCCAAAATTTACTTATACAAAGTAACTTTAAAATATTATTTAAATGAATTAGGATTGTATTGGAGTAATTGATGAAACACATGTAGATGCATTTCTGTGTAACCGTGAAATGATTGCATATATTAGACATTGTGGTTCACCAACATAAAATCTTACGGTTGCATGTGACTTCAACATGTGTTTCACTTTTTTAATGACAAATGAGAAGACATAGCACATGATAGTCGTATATTTTTGTTATGTGAAATAATAAATACAATTTTCTCAAGCGTCCTTCAGGTTTTTTGCTGTATAAAGAATTTAAATATTTTTCCCTTACAATTACTAATGGTTATACTTTTAATACGAAAATATTATTTGGTTGTTGGATATCCGCTACAAAGAAGATTTCTCAAGTCATTTTCTTGTATAAAATATCACATTTCTAGTTTTGAAAAATGCAATCATATAGTTCAGAGAAGAAAAGAGATGTTTAACAACCGACACTCATCATTATGTGGTGTTATTGAGAGGATATTTAAAATTTAGAAAAAAAATGGATTATTCTATAAGATATACCTACATATCCTTTCAGAAACAAACAAAGATTGTGGATGCTATAATGGCCCTACACAATTACAACATCGACATTATTCATCTAGTGATATTGATTTTAATAGTGCAGATGAAAATCAGTCATAGGTCCCTCCTTAAGCATATGAATATTATCTGCTGATGGGTATCAAATATACATGTTATTATTAGATATTTGTGATTTTATATGCAGTGTACATGTGATTAGATAATTTGAAAAGCAAATGAGATAAAAACAGGCTGAACCAAGCTAAACATGGTTGCCGGAGCATCCCCTCATCAAACTTGGGCACCCCTTTGTCAATCCCAACACCTAAGTACCAATAC